GAAAATAACTATTGTTGGTCACAGTCCAGACCAGATAAGGATGCAGATTTTCCTAAAGCGCACTAGAGACCTGTGAGTTTTTATGACTGCTGATAATGGTTTAATGCTCACATGAGACCTCAATTTAAATTCCAACACCTGTAATGAGATTCACACCCAGGACCCCAGAGCATTACCTGGGTCTGTGGATTGCTATTCAGTGACACTACCACTACATCATCCCGATGTCTGTCTGTTCTAGTGTTTTGAGCATAAAGGTGAAGAGTGACACCAGAGGGGCCACTACCAGTGTTCCCTCTAAGCTCGGCAGCCACTCAGGTTCTGTGCACGCCGACACATTGTACTCCAGAGATGGAACCTCCATTGACCTTGGAGGACTGCATGTTGGGAAAAAAAGCAAGCTAGAGTAGTATTGAACATTGCTTGTCAATTTCAAAATGATACATCTCACATTTTAAGCCAGAGATGAGGGATTTCTTCTCTTGTAAGTTCATTAATATTTAGAATGCTCTTCCCCTGCAAGCAATAGAGACTGGATCATTGAATATTCAAAGTTGGTCAGATTTTTGACTGACAGGGCAGTTGAGGATTGAGGGTGTTGGAGGAGGAGTTCAGGGATGAAAGTAATGTTGGGTCATATTCAGGTCAGCCATGATCTTAATTAACCATAGAGATACTGGACCAACTGACCTCATGGCCATGAAAAACACTAAGCCGAAGTTTGTCTCTTTATCGGATTGATTTGAGAATTTTTTTTTTTTTTGCCTTCTTGCTTTCTGGTCTCCCTTACCATCTTGTGAGCTTCATATTATCTGTGCCCACTTAAGTTTACTTTTCCTTCTAAACCTGCTTAATACTCTCTTTACCATATTAGTTTGTGCTCCTCACCAAGAGAACTAAAGTTATCTGTAGGAATGTAGGACCTGACTCTCTCCAAGTGTGGATGGCCCTATTAGTATCCCAAAAATTATTCTGAACTCTTGTATATCATGCCCTATACACACCAGTTATCTTTCTAATCTGGTTGTTCTTGTAGGAGTTAATGTATTATACTGATTGTCTTTTTGAGAATAATACACTCGTGAGAGCCTGTCTCTCCCTTTTTCAGCATGAGTCTTGCAGTCAGGTCCATCATTGGTTTTGATGTGGTCACTGACACTTGGTACATTACTTCTCACTGGCTGACCACCCTCCTCCAAGCCACTCTGTACCCATTCCAGTAAGTTTGTTTTTTAAGCCTGGAACCTGACAGTGAGCATACAATTCAGGCTATATTACAGAAGAAACTCTAACTGTCAAATTTCTTGCAGTAGATGCAGTTGACTCACTTCCAGTGTTTCATGGTGCTGAGGTGTTCTGGTGCTGCTTGCAATTTTCCTCCCCTGAGTTGCTGTCTGTGATTATAGGTATTCAGCACTTTTAAAGAGTGTTTCAGATTTCCTAAAGACTCCCTCCGCCTCAACTGGGGTCCTTCTCTGTCACCAATTATGTTTGGTAACCTACTTTTCCTCCTAAACTTCACTGTTCTGTCCCTATTTTAGTGACCATCTCACAATTGTACACCACAGACTCATTGTCCTTTTATACTGTAGAGTGCCTCTAACTATTTTAGCAATTTGAGTTTGGCTAAATACATCAGAGGCACTTGTTAGCCATCCAGTTTCTTAAAAAAAAAAGTACCAACTGTTCAAGATCTGCCTAACTGAACTTTCTGCTGTCTTGTTGTAATAAATACAGTATTTTGACTTTCCAAAGAAAAAAATGTAACTGAAAACTGTTTCAGACTGGACATTTGTCACTGCCTGCTCACACTCTTGCTTCTAGAGTTAACTATCTCTAGGTGGAATAAACTGCTCAGTCTCAAAGCAAACATGACCAATATGAATGTAGTTAGGTGCCTCACTTTAGGATTAGTTTACTGTCTTCTACTCAAGCTTATCTCCACTATTGGCTTATCAATATTTTGTGAGAAGTTTGAGGAAGAATCAGAATGGTAGTAAACAGGTTGTAGAGAGCCTCGTGGTGTCAATGAGAATGATTGCTTGCTCAGAAATTCCTACTGGACTAGTGATTAGAGCCCTGGAGTAATGATACAGACTTTATTTGAGCTACTCTTAGTAAAATTGTACTTCATTGTGACAATAAGCTCCAGCTTGACCTATTTGTTGCAGATTCAACAATTGGAACAAAGTTTAGAAGAAATGCTTACTAGAGTGGATGAATTCTGTGGAATGTTGGACATGGTAAGTAGTTGTTTAACATCTGTGCCCCCTCTACATTCCCTGCTTTTGTAAAAGGGTTGCCTTTTGAGCTGAACACACTGGGTCAAGAGGATGGAAACATTTTTCTTTTGGCTTCTCTATATCCTTGTTGATGCTGTTCCAGAAGCAATTAGTCAGAAGTGTGATCTTGAAAGCTGGAATGATTTGGATTGTTTTTGTTCGTTGAGTGAATTCCACATTTCCAAACAGCAGTCACCTAGTTGTCCAAACAAAATCTGATTCAAATTCACATCTGAGGTGCAAAAACAGATGTTCACTTTTTTGTGGTCTCCTGATGCAGGAGACTAATGCACCAAACTGCTGAATCACAAGTATGCCCTAGAGTAGAATTGTAGTATGATTACCACATAAGAGGCCATTCTGTCCATTTTTGTCTGTACCAGCTCTGAGCAATTAAACTAGTCCTGAAATTCTACTCTTCCCCCAACCCCCCACCTTGAAAATTATTTCTTCTTCAGGTGCTTATCCAACTCCCTTTAGTAAACTCCAGTTGTATCTGCCATCTGCAGCATTATCAGACTGTTAATTTTAGATCCTAAACTCCGGCTGTGCTTTTTTTTTTAAAAAAAGAAAAAAAAATGTTTTGCTCATTGCTGTTCGTTTTTATCACTGTTCTCTGCCTCTTGACTCCTTTTTCAAATAGAAACTCTGGTCAATGCCCTCATGATTTTTGAACAGCTGTAAGAGATTGCTTCTTGACCTTCTCTGTTGAAAGCATAACTCTGGCTTCTCCAAAATATTCATGTAATTGAGGTCTTGTCCAGCTGAGAGGATGAGTACAGTCCCATCAAATTGATCACCCCTTCTTATTTCTCAGTTGCACCCATATAGCCTCACTGGATTATCCCTCAAGTAGCCTGTCTAAATGAGAGATTTTTTTCAATCCAGAGATTGAAAGCTGACTGTTGTAGGACTTGAAGAAGCTTTTTTCAATTTTCAGCTAAGTGCTTGGTTTTTTTAAGATTTGTTTTAATTTTCTTAATCTTTTGCATGATTAAGATTTGAAATCTGTGGGTAAGGAAGGGCAGTTTTTTATGTAAAAGGTGCAATTGAGAGCTTCCCTTTAGGACTAATATCACTGAGGGCATTCAAATGACAGTGTGACTAGCAGATTTAGAGAAGTCATTACTCGGCAGAATCAGTCAGACAGATGGGTGACTATCAGGAAAAGTAAGGTAGTTCAGAAGTCTCCTGTAGCTACTCTCCTCTCAAACACATTCCATTTTGGCTGCTATTGAAGGGGCTAGTTTCTCAGATGAAAATAGTGGCAGTCAGATTGTGGGCACTAAGAATGAATCTTGCGTTAAGTGGGATTTGTCAAGATTTAAAAGAATAATTGTTATAGGGGATTGTCCTGTGCGGCACAGAGGAGGTTCTGCAGTAATGAACATGAATTGGGATAGTATGTTGCTTTCCTGGTGCCACAGTTAAGGATATCTATGTTTGAAGCATATTGTCAAAGGGGGAGAGTGAAAAGCCAGGAGTTGTTGTACATGCTGGTATGAATGACGTAGTTAGGGAAAAGGTTAAGGCTTTGCAGAGTGAATATGAGGCTAGGTAGAAGGATTTTTTTTTTAAAAAAAAAAAGACCTCCAAAGTAGTAATCTCTATTTTATTCCCAGTGCAAAGATAGGGCAGATAAGACAGTGGCTGAAGTGGTAGTGCAATGTGTGGGAATTCAGATTATTGGATCATTGGGATCTCTTCTGGAGTAGAACACTTCTGTTCAGCAGGGATGGATTTCACCTGAACTAGAAAGGAACCAATATCCTGGTGGGGAAAATCTTGCTAGTGCCTGTAAACTTGGTGTTGGGAGGAGTCTTGGGGGAATGTTTGTGTGGGGGTGGGGTGTTCCTAGGTAACTTATTTCCCCTGAGACAGTATCCTCCACAACAGTATCTAAGACTTTACTTATTTGAGGGAGATAGCCAGTGGAGACTCCTACACAACCTGCCTACCTCTCCTGGCAGTCACTTATCTACCTGCAGTAGTGACCACTTCCCTGAAACTACTATCGCACTCTTTGCCTCCTGTTTGCTGCTCAGTGATCTGACTGTCACGCCAGCCAATCCATACAATCTGAGAGGCACTGCAGCTGGACACTTCCTGCAGACATGGTAGCCTTGGACACAACTGCTCTGTAATTTCTCACATTCTGAGAGGAGGAGCATAACGTTCCATTGCCATCTCCACCCCTTTTAACAACTAGTGGACCTATGAAAAAGGTCTTGCCTTGCCCTTGCCTTATTGCTGCTTGCTTTCCTCAACAAAGCCCGGTACTCACTTAAGCCCACACTTAAACCACAAGGTAGCCCCCTCAAAAAATTGCTGCAAAAATGTCTGGAACAAGGCACAGTAAAGCGTCTTCTCTGCAATAAACTGCACTCCCATTTCCCTAAACTGATCCATTTAGCTCAACTCCCAGCAATTCACTTCCTGCAGCACACAACATAATGTGGGAAAATGAAGTTATGCACTTTGGTAGAAAGAATATAATAGCTGAATATTACCTGGAAATAGACTGTAGAAAGCTGCAGTACAGAGGGATTTGGGGATCCTTGTGTATGAATCACACAACAGCAGAATCTGAGTTAATTCACTCAACAAATGGACAGGCTTTTATTTCAAGGGGAATGAAGTATAAAAATAGGCAGGTCTTGCTAAAATTATACAAAGCGCTAGTTATATCATACCTTGAATATTGTGGACAGTTTTGGTCCCCTGAACTAAAAAAAAAAATACTGATGTTGGAGGCAGTCCAGACAAGGTGGACTAGGTGACTGGACTGTAGCAGTTCAAGAAGGTAGCTTGCCACCACCTTCTCAAGAGTAACTAGGGATGAGCAATAAATGCTGGTTTAGCCAGTGGCATCCACATCCTGTGAATGTACATGGAATAGACCTTCCTTTGCACAATCTTGTGAGGAGGCGTTGAGTAGATTGAGTCTATACTCGTTTGGAATTTACTCCAGTAAGGTCTTGTCTTAGTCTATATAAGTTCTTGCGGCACTTGATGGGTAGATGTGGCGTTATGAACCAAATCAAATCCCCTCAAAATATATCAAGGAGATGGCAGAGGCCCTGACTACTGAAGGCAAGTATTGATGTGATTTCATTGGTCCACTACTAGACTTGAAGCAAAGCGCACTTCATTCTTACAACACAATTAAATGCAAACAAATAGAATTGGCATAATTTTAACTCTAGAAATATTTAAACTAATTAACTACTAATGATCAACTATTCCAATATAGCATCCCATAAACACCCCTTTGGCAAAGGCAAATTCAGCAAACCTGACTTTCCTCACCTGCTATCTCCCTTCCAGTCCCAGACAAAGGAACACTGAAATAAACAATCTAGCAGCAAGAAAGAACCTGACCTTTTTGCTACAGTGGAGAGAGAACTGAATCAATCAACTTCACCAGCCAGTTCCAAACCCCAACTGAAAGCAAAACTAAAACCCTGTGTCTGAGCCTAACTTCACCCAGTTATGCTTATTTTGTGTAGTTTTTAAAAACTACACAAGCACAAAGCTATTTGCCCACTGCTTCTGAAGCAGGCGTTCCATACCACTGTGGTAACACCTGTCCAACTGAAACCGCACAGGAGAAATCTCTTCAGGCACAGTACTGTCACAGCAGAGAAGTTGTTTCTCATTGTGAGGAAAGTCTAGGGTTGTCTGTTTTAAGACAGATGAAGAGGAATTTCTTGAGGGTAGTGAATCTTTGGACATCTTTTGGTTTGGAAAAGATTAAAAGTCCCCTTGTCCTGAGACTTCAGATTAGTGTCTTAAAAGCAGTAAAATTCCCTAGATTCTGAGAAGGTTCCAACAGATTAGAAAATAGCAAATGTGACTCATCTGTTCCTCCAAAGGATAGAGACAGAAAGCAGAAAACCTACAGGTCATTTAGCTTTAACGTCTGTTTGAGGGGTAAGGCTGGAAACTTAAGGATGTTGTGATGGGGCACTTAAGAAATCTGTGTAATGGGCATTGTCAATGTGGTTTTGTGAAAAAGAAATTGTTTGCTTAATTTATTCGAGGTCCTTTGAGAAATTTGAACTGAAATTAGGGAGGCTCTGTGGATGTGCTGAACTTAAGGGGCTGGATTTTCGAGGAATGGCAATCATACTCGGATTGCCGCACTGCTCCTACTTCTTTATATTAAGAAAGAACTCCATGTTTGTAGGAGATTCCAAAAGCAGATTCTGTAAAAATGCAGAATATATTTTCAATCCAGCTGTCCTTGCACTGTAGGATAGCCAAATCAATGGCTCCTTTTTCACAGTGCTGGCTACTGTATTCTGGTATTTTAAAAAATCCCATAGCATATCCCACTTTGAGAACTTGTGTGTGAGCATAAGTATGTTAACTAAGTGTGAGGTTAAAGTGCCAGTTGTAGTGTGTCAGGGTCTGAGGTCAGTTGGGTGTCAGGTAGGTGGGTACCATGATGCAAGTTGGGAAAGGTGGCAGGCTAGTGAATGCCTAGGGTAGCTCAGGCTGGTGGCGGGTTTGTCCTCTGGTGTGAAGAGGAGGGGTTCAGGTCCCCAGGGCAGAATGGAATGTTTGATCTGGGTCTAGGGGGCATTGAGTGGTCTGGAGGAGGTGTAATTGGCGAAGTTAAGGGTCAGTTTATTAGGTACCCAGGAGTTAAACTAGATTTTTAAATGTTCATCTCTTCTTGAGTAGCTGTGAACTGCAAGAACCCTCTGAATTCTCTAGTTTTTTGAAGAGGATACTTTCAGGATATGCCAGGTACAGGGAGGTTGCCCATCAGAATCTTCCATTTCTTGGACAAATCCCTTGGGTTTGCCACATCTGGGCTTCTGCAGGTTCCCAGTGGAGAACTCCAGTCTGCAATACAGAAACCACGAGCTGGCCATCAGAAATTCCTGCCATTTAGGTTTACGGAAGGAATTCAACACTGCATCAAAGGTTTCTACACAATAAGTGCTAATGGCTCAGATGATAACATGTGGATAGATAGAGGATTGGGTCACTGTTAGGAAACAATAGGAAAAAGTGATTTTTCAGGTTGACAAATGTGTAGAGGGGAATGCTCCAGTATTCATAGAAACATCAAAAATAGGAACGCAGGTAGGCCATTTAGCCCTTTGAGCATGCTTCTCTATTCAATATGATCATGGCTGATCGTTCTACTCAGTACCCTGTTCCTACATTTCTTTAGCCTTGGCAACTACATCTATCTCCTTTAAAAACATTCAATGTTTTGGCATCAGCTACTTTTTTGGCAGAGAATTCCACAGGCTCAGGCTTTTTATTTAGCATGGAAACAGACCCTTCGGTCCAATTCATTTATGCTGAACAGGCATTCCAATCTGACCCAGTCCCATTTATCACAATTTGGCCAATATCCCTGTAAACCCTACCTATTCATATACCCATACAGATGCCTTTTAAATGTTGCAATTGTACCCACCTCCACTAGTTTCTCTGGCAGTTGTTCCATACAGGCACCACCCTCTTAAAAAAAGTTACCCCTCAGGTTCTTTTTAAATCTTTCCCCTCTCACCTTACATCTGTGCCCTTTAGTTTTGGACTTTTGGATAGGAAAAAGATTTTGGCTATTCACCCTATCCATGCCCCTCAAGATTTTATAAATCTCTAGAAGGTCACCCTTCATCCTCTAACACTCCAGGGAAAAAAGCCCAGCCTATTCAGCCTCTCACTATAAATTAAATTCTTCAGTCCCAGCAATATCCTTGTAAATCTTTTCTGCACTGTCCCGAGTTTAACAATATTCTTCCTCTAGAACGGAGACCAGAATTGTGGTGCAGTCCCTCTTGGAATGCTGCATAATGTCCTGTGCAGCTGCAACATGATGTTTCCACTCCTATACTCCATATTCTTCCCAATAAAAGCAAGTGTGCCATACACCACCTTCATGCTGTCTACCTGCAATAATGCCACTTTAAACAAATTATGCACCTGCACCCCTAGGTCTCTCTGTTCAGCAACACTCCTCAGGGCCCTACTATAAATTGTATAAGTCCTGCCCTATCAAAATGCAACACCTTTATATTTATCTAAATTAAACTCCTTCTGCTGCTCGTCGGCCCATTTGCCTATCTGATCAAGGTCTCAATGTGCTCTGACATAATCTTCTTCACTGTCCAATACACCAACTATTTTGGTGTCACCTGCAAATTTACTAACCACACCTCCTATATTCACATCCAAATCACTTGTATAAATGGTGAAAAGCAGTGGACCCAGCACTGATCGTTGTGGCAGTGAAGATATTTCTTCTCGCCTCAGTCCTAAACGGCCTACTTGTATCCTTTAGGTTATGACCCTGGTCCTGGATTCCCCAATCAAGAGTTTTCTACTTGCATTTACCCTGTCTAAAATTTCCAGTTTAGAATTTAGTGCTGACATGTGAACTATTTACAATTTATATTAACTTTGGATGAGGGAACCAAGTATGATTGCTTAATTAGCTGGAAGATAAGGAGTCTATAAAGGGATATAAATTTGAGTGAGCAAAAATTTGAGCTGGAGTATAACCGAACTTGCCAACACAACAGTAAAGTGGAAATGTAGTGGATTATTTAACTAGGGAACTGATTCCTTTGTAGCTCAGTGTCCTAGTCCATGAATCATATGTTAATATGCAGATACATCAAGAGGTTAGGACAGCAAATGGAATGCTATCCTTTATCGCAAATGGAGCGTAAGATAAAAGTACGGTTGTTTTCCTGCTGTTATACAGGGCATTGGTGAGGTCACATTTGGAATACGTTGTAGCGTTCTGGTCTCCTTATTTATGTAAATGTTAGAAACCGTTCGGAAAAGATCCACTTGACAGATTCCTTAGATTTGAGGTCTTACCTTAGAAGAAAGGTTGGGCCTGTATCCAATTGGAGCTAATCTCTTTGAAGTATGCATGATCCTGAGGTGCCTTGATGTGGTTGATGCTGAAATGATTTTACTCGTTGTGGGACGAACAAGTGTCTCAAGTCAAAGTTTAAAAATAAGATAGATAAAAAATTTAACTGAGAATATTTTAGACCTCTGCCAAGTGGAGGTAGAGCCTTAAATATTTTTAAGGCAGAAGTAGATTCTTGACAAGTGAGTCATAGGTTATCTTGGGTAGGTCAGAATGTGGAACTGAGGCCACTGTCATATCGGTCTTGATCTCACTGGTGGAGCAGGCTCTGGGGGCTGAATGTCCTACTGCTTTGAATTTGTTTGTGTTCTTGGAAATTATTTCTCTGCCTCCTCTGAAGCCTTTGCATGGTTCCTAAATGTGCAGTGCCTTGAATTGATCAATCTTCCAGTTAGCCTGAAGGAGTTTTAAATAGGTTTGTAATAACTTCATTGCTGTTACATGCTATGTCTCGGTAAAACCCAGAAGTCCCTTTTTTCATATTAACCCCTTTCTTAACCTGCTAACCTACCTTCAATAATTTATGAACATATGCACCCAGAGTTCTCTGACTGCATCTCCTTTTGAATTGTTTCTTTTCCATATTGTCTCATTCTTCCAACCATAATGTACCCCTTCACAATTCTCTGAATTAGATTTAATCTGCTGTCTGTCACTCATTTCACCAATCAATTTATGCTTTCTTGAAGTCCATCATGTCCACCTCACGATTCATATGTTTAAGTTTTGTCAACTGCTCCAAAACTTGGAAGCGATGCTCCGAGTACTCAAGTCTGGGTCATTTCTTGTAGATCAAGGGAAATAGTGGTCTTAATACTTCTCACTAATTCTCTCAAGTTTGTAAACGAACTACCACCGTGCTGACTTGTTTCCTGTCACTTTGCCTTTAACAAATTCATGCTGGCTTTCCCTAATTAACAGTCGCTTGGTGGAATAACATTGTTCTGGATTCTTATGTCAAAGATTTTCCACTGTCTAAGTTAGATTGGCTGTAGTTTGAGATTATCTTTATTCTTTTTTTGAATAGGTTATAATGTTTTTAAAAGATTTATTGGAGCATTGAATTGCAGGTTTCACAGTTCACTTCGTGGGTTAAAATGCTGTTTTCTGCTGCAGATTCGAAATGATTCTTCTCAGATAATGAATGAAAATATCCCTGAAATCCACGCGAAAGCAGATGAAATGAAGCAATTATACCAGAAGATTGATAAATTAGAGGTGGGCAATTTGTACTTCTATTATTGTTAGACAGTTGCCTTGTGATAACAATGAAAAAGTTGTCATCAAAGCTTCATGTAATTATTTATAACAGACATCTTGTATTGATGTAGTCTTCCTATTAACTGTTTCCATTGGAAGTGTGGACACGGGTGCTTTATTCTTTATAATTTCCTGTGTAAAATTTGTTTCATTCTGTATGCTATCAACTTTGAATCATTCAACTAGTGAAAGAGCTATCTAAACATTCCACTTCCTTGACCCTTCATAAGCCTACAAACCTTTCTTTTTCTGGTATAATATCTATTTCCATTTGGGTGGATGCTATTTGAACCCCCTTCCTCCACCCAAGATCACAACAACTCACTGCTTCTAAAATAGAACTAAAATTTTCCTCCCCCTCTAGGTTATTTTGCCAATTGTACATGTACTCTGTTTATTGGTTGTTCTGTCAATAGAGCAAACAACAAACTGTCCTGTTTAAGTCTATCAAAACCTGTTAGTGACTTAGAAATGACAAAGGTGAAATTTCTTCTCAGAAGAAGAACAACTAAAATGTTTCAATTTTTCCTGTTATTTTAAAAATATGCATATTAACACAACACTAAATTTTCAATGAAAGGGAATCTGTACTTCCATTGAAAGCTGACAAGAATATGCTGTTAAATGACATGATCAGTACAAATCTGGAAGGTCTCCAGTTCTGTACCTAAGGTACCACCTGATTTTGAGGAAAAAGTGCTCAAAATGTCTTCTAAACGTAATTAGAAGTGAACAATAATCAGCTAAATCTTCTGATACTTGTCAATCCTTGCTGAAGATGTGCCTTTGTGCAGAGATAGTCGGAACTGCAGATGCTGAAGAATCTGAGATAACAAGGTGTAGAGCTGGATGAACACAGCAGGCCAAGCAGCATCATAGGAGCAGGAAGGCTGACGTTTAGGGCCTAGACCCTTCATCAGAAATGGGGGAGGGGAAGGGGGTTCTGAAATAAATAGGGAGAGAGGGGGAGGCGGAAAGAAGATGGATAGAGGAGAAGATAGGTGGAGAGGAGACAGACTGGTCAAAGAGGTGGGGATGGAGCCAGTAAAGGTCCATGTAGGTGGGGAGGAGATAGGCCCGTCCTCCCTGGACTGACAAGTCAAGTGCATGTTGGGAGTAAGTTTGATTAGACCGATCTATATAATGCTGTCACTGGTTAAATAGTTTAGATTCTCAAAGTTTGCAAATAATGGCTACTTAGACCGACAAGCATCTGTGGAACTGTTCTCCAGCAAAACGTTAATTTGAAGGAGGGAATAAAATTGAATTTAATACTAGTACCATACTTGGTGGTATAGCGGCTCAGTGGTTAGCACTACTGCCTCACAGTGGCAGGGACCCAGGTTCAATTGCAGCCTTGGGCAACTGTGCAGACTCCAGAGACATTCTCTGTCTGTATGGGGTTCCTTCTACAGTCCAAACATATGCAGGTTAGGTGGATTGGCCATGCTACATTGCCCATAATGTCTAGAGTGGGAAATGCAAGGATAAGATAATGTGGGATGTTCCTCAGAGGGTTGGTGTGGATTCGATGGGTTGAATGGCCTGTGTCAATACTAGGGTTTCTATGATTCAATCCCATAGTGAAAGAGGATTGCCAGGTGTGAGCAAAAAAAATTGAGTGGCAGGTAAAACTTATTTCAACAAAAGCTATCTAAACTATAAAAATGCAATCGGGTGTATATTTAACTAACAATATACCGATGTAAATTACAGGCCTTTGTCAAGATGGTTGGACAAAATGTATGTGTTCTAGATAATCAAGTTACACAAGCTGAAGCCGAAGTTGGAAGCTTTCCCAGCACCTTTAGAAAAATCTGGCACTCAATCGGTTCTCCAGCATTCCTTAATGTGGGTATTGTTCCTCTTTTATTTTTAAATATAAAAATTCCCAGAATTGAGGTTTACTGCTTTATCCTGTTCTTTGAAATTGACAATGATTACTGATATTATCTAATAGTATTAGACAATTAATCCTGAACCTTGGCTAATGTTCTGGGAATCCAGGTTTTGAATTCTATGAAAATAATAATCTGGAATTAAGAATCAAATGACAACTGTGAAACCAGTGTTGATTTTGTTGGGGGAAATAAAAATATGGTTCACTAATGTCCTTCCCTGAAGGACATCTACTATGTTGACCTGGTCTAGTGTAGATATGACTCCAGACCCACCAAATGTGGTTGACTCTCAACTGCCTAGCAAGCCGCTCAATGCCTAAGTCGTCTCAACAAGAAATGAAACCAGACCACTACCTGGCATTGACTTTGCACTAGAAAGGACAATGACAAAAATAGCCCTGTCAACTCTGCAAAGTCCTCCATACTAACATCTGGAGGCTAGTACCAAAATTGGAAGAGCTCTCTCTGACTAAACAAGTAACAGCCTGATGTATTCACGCTCCTGAAATCACATCTTACAGACAACATAGCAGACACCATTGCCATTTCTGTGTATGTCCTGTCTCAGCGGCAGGACAGACCCAGCAGAGGTGGTGACGGTGGTATAGAGTTGCCTTGGAACTCCTACATTGACTCCTGGACACCATGCAGTCTCATGACACCAGTTAAAGATGGACAAGGAAACAACCTGCTTGTTACCACTTAGTGCCCTCCCTCAGCTGATGAATCAGTACTCCTCCATGTTGAACAACACTTGGAGGAAGCACTGAGGGTGGCAAGAGTGCAAAATGTAGTTTGGTGAACTTCAATGTCGACCACAAGAATAGCTCTGCAGCAGCACAACTGATTAAGCTGGTCAAGTAATAAAGGACATTGCTGCTAGATTGGGATGCAGCAGCTGGAGAGAACCAAAAAGTGGAAAAAAAAATGTATATTTGACCACCACCAATCTGTCTGCTGCAAATGCGTATGTTCATGATGGTATCTGTAAGAATGACCACCGCACAGTCCTTGTGAAGATGCAGTCCCACTTTGTGGAGAATACCCTCCGTGTTGTGTGGTGCTATCACTGTGCCCAGTAGGACAGACTTCAAACAGTTGTAGTGACTTCAAACAGATGTAGCAACTCCAGAATGGGCATCTGAGGCACTGTACATCAGCAGCATTATTCTACAACAGAATCTGAAATGTTATGGCCTGTGTATATCCCCCACTGAATTGTTACCATCAAGCCAGGGGATCCATTCTAGTTGAGTGGAGTAGCACCAGGCACACATGAAAATGAGGCAACACCCTGGTGAAGCTTCAGAAAGGACTACTGGCATATCATTCGGCATAAACAGCAAGTGATAGAGCCAGGTGATGTTCCATTACCAGTGCATAAGATGTAAGCCCAGCAGTCCTGTCACATCCGGTTGTTGTTGGTGGATAATTAAACGATTCACTGGAGGAGGAGGCTGCATAAATATCCCCATCCTCCATGGTGGAAGAAGCCAGCACATCAGCGCAAAAGACAAGGCTGATGCATTCACAGCAATCTTCAGCCATAAGTGCTGTTTGGGGGAGGCCGCGATGGGTCATTGTGGTCCCTAACATTTCAGATGCCAGTCTTCAGCCAATTCTATTCCCTTCATGATATCAAGAAACAATTGGAGGTACTGGATACTGCAAATGCTATGGGCCCTGACAGCATTCCTGCAAGAGTACTGAAGACTTGTGCTCCAGAACTTGGTGCACCCTCTAGCTAAGCTCTTCCACTGCAGTTACAACACTGACATCTGCCTGGTATATCCTGTGCACAAAAAGCAGGACAAATCCAATCTGGCTAATTGACAGTAGACTGATGGGACAGTAATCAGTAAAGTGATAAGTGCTATCAAGCACCTTCTCAGCAATAACCTGCTCACTGGCACCCAGGTTGGGTTCTGCCAGAGTCACTTGGCTCCTGACCTCATTATAGCCTTGTTTCAAACATGGACAAAATGGCTGAATTCCAGATGCAAGGTGAGAGTTACAGCCCCTGACTTCAAGGTCGCATTCAACCAAGGAACTTGAGCAAAACTGACTTATGCTGAAGCTGAGCTGTGGTGGGGAGACAGAATCCAGAGAGAGGTGGAAGGGCAGGTAAAAGAGTATTGATATTCAGCTTGTGTTTTGTCCTAGCTTACTAAATGATGCGCGTTTTGGGTAGGAGAGAATGGATATGGAAGCTGATGGGATGATAAGTGACGACTGGGGGCTGCTGTCGTTGGAGGGAAGAGAAGGGGTGAGGGCAGAAGTGTCAGATGGGGTTGGGTATGACTGAAGGTACTTTCAATCACGATAGCAGAGAATCCTCAGTTGGGGAAGGAATGCCCCTGTCCTCCACCCCATGTCAAGTAACATTTATTGTCTGATACTAATGGTGTGACTGTCTCCAACAAGAAAAAAAATCAAATCTTCATCCCTTGATGTTCAATGGATTTACCAGTGCTGAATCCACCATTATCAGTATCCTTGGTTACCAATAATTGAACTGGATCTACTAACTTAAATACGAGAGCAGATCAGAGCCTTGGAGTTCCGTGGCAATAACTTTGTTTCCCTAAACCTGGTGCGGCACAGTTCAGCAATGCAATGGAATGCTGTCCACTTGCCTGGATGAATGCAGCTTCAGTAGCAGTCAAGAAGTTTGACACTATCCAGCAGCCTACTTGATTGGCATGTTGTCATGTACCACTTGGAACATTCCCTGCCTTTATCACTTCTACACAATGGTAGCATTGTGTAATTATTTCCAAGGTGCACTGTAGTAACGCTAAGGCTTCTCTGACAGTGCGTTCCAGACCCTCAACCTCTCTCCCTCGCTGAGAAGAGCGAGGGCGGTAGATATAGGCATCTATAAGTTCCCCTCCAAGCCACTCACCAATCTTGACCTAGAAACTTTCCATGGCTATTGGATAGATTTAGCTAGCTTATCCCATGAATGAAGAATAAATTAAAAATGTGCATTTACTCCTTATGTGACTGCTGCCATGACTGACGGAATATACTGGATAATCCTGTACTGTTTGTAACTGTATTTGAACAGCTTTACTAGAAGTATAGCCAGGGGCACAGATCTTGATCACCAAAGCAAGGATGTTGTCATTCCCTATATGCAATTGTTCCTTGATTCGCGTGAAGTGAATAGACTTCATTGAAAACTGCCATTCATTGGGAATCTTAAGTGGGTTATCAGGTGCAAATGCATTGTCTTTGTCTTTGTTTTGTTTTCATGTGTTGAGTATAAGGATCACCACTAAGCCTCTGAATGTGAACTGCAGCACCTCAATCTGATCTGTTGGTTGAAGCTAAATAAGAACTGTGGTTCCTGTAAACCAGGAACAAAAACAGAAGTTGCTGGAAGAGTTCAAATCTGGCAGCGTCTGAAGAAAAATCATCAGTTAAAGCTTTGGGCCTGGTGACCCTTCCCCAGTTGAGGAAGGGTCACTGTACCCGAAACGTTAATTCTGATTTTTCACAAATACAGCCAGACTTGCTGAGCTTTTCCAGCAACTTCTGTTTTTGTTATTGGTTGAGAAAATGCTTAGGTCTCTGTAGCATGCTATTTCCACATTTTGCTGTCTTCATCTTCTCACTGAACTTCTGGTTTGGTTGTGTAGTCTGATGGTCATGGTAGAGTGAGGGATATGCTGGGCTGTGAAGTTAGTTGGTGTGGAAATATAATCCTACTGATTTTAGTACCCAAAATATCATGGCATATCTGTTCTTGACCCATTTACCAGTGTTTGTACCACAATTGGTAAATTGAGGATAACCTGCATGAGAGTGGGCCTCATCTCCACAGGAACTGTGCAGCGGTCCCGCCTACAAATATTTCCATCGGCAGACGCATCTGTGACAGATCGAGTAGAAGTGCATGCAGTTTCCACTCCTAATGGTGTTCTTGCCCCCTGCAAGGTCAGTCAGACAGCTTTAAAGCTCAGTTGCTGTAGTAGCGGTACTTGAGTTCCTCACTGCTGGACATTGAAGCCTTCTATTCAGATTCCATTGTGCCCTTGCTACCTTCAATGTTTTTTCCAAATAGTGTTAACTAGAAAAGCACTGATTCATCTGCCGGAGTGCGTACATGGCAGTTAAAAGGTTTACTTGCTGATGTTTGATCTGATGTTAAAAATCAATGTTGAACTGTCAATGCCACTCCTGAGTTTGTCATCACCTCTGTCAGTGGGACAGAGAACTCTAGGATGTGATTCAGTCAGTACGATTGTCAGGTTTAATTGATCTGTGGCGGAGCTGCCAAAATGAACGTTGGTGAGCAGGACTGGGCTGGAGTGAGTTTATTCTCAAGACTAACGTTTTTTAGGTCAAGTCTTGTCTTGTCCAGTTTTTATTCATTTTAATGTACTTTGTGTAACGCAATTGTGCATCAACCACATTGGATTTGGACTCATATGCCAGGCAGGATAAAGGCAGACCACTTCCTTAGTAATAAGCATTTGAGAACTGCTTCTGTTTTTGATGATCCAGTAGCTTCACAATCACTACTGCTGATCTAGATTTTTAATTTTATTTAGTCAAATTCTTCAACTACTATGATGAGATTTGAACAATTATCTCCAGGTTATTAGTCTAGATTTCTGGATTACTCATTTCGTAATATATTGCTATAGCTAGATGCCACACTTGATTTGTACTGTGTGCTGTTAATTTGTTTACTATATTTAAATCAGCTGACTTTTAGTTGGGCACTGGATCTTCTTTTGGATTTTACATTGCCAGTTGTCAAATTAAAATGCATTATTAAATGACTGGTGTACAGAATTTTTGTAATCCCTGACTTGTCTGTCATTTACTTGGAAGATTTGTAGAAGAGGTATGGTTTGCTTTTAGGAGAACCAATGATGTTGAGATCAAGGTTTTTTTTTTAAAAAGTGAACAAGCAATTTTTATACTGAATGACAAAAGACAGATACCCTGATTCTAACTGATTTTGTGCTTTTCTCATTGTAGAAATCATTGCCTAAGAGACAACAGCAAAAGTTTGAACCTCCAACCCTCTTCCGGACAGAAGATTACTTCCCAGTGCAGAACTCCTAGCATATAATTATAACATTAAAAGAATAGTAGCACAGTGTCAGTCACTTCCAGTTAATGAAGCAAGGGTCATTTTCTTATGAAACAGGCTGATTGTTCAAAACCTCAGAGGCCAATATTCTTGTCTTCCTTTTAATATCAAAGTATTGCTTTTGATATGAAACTGCTTAAATATGCACAAAGTAAATACTGCTAACAGATAAAATTTGAACAGTATTGATATTTGTCTACAGCTTTATAATTACCAAGGATGAGTTTTTTTCAATGCTGATCTGGTAAGAGTTCGGTTTGAGACTATCTTTGATATTTGCTGATTAATGATAAATGGTATCCATGCTAATGCCAAGGCATGATTTTGCACTTTTTGTTTGTCTTAGAACATGTTGAACTTCCATTTCTTAAATCCTGTAAACTGAGGGTGAGAAATATCCTTTTTTTTTCTGGAGAACCAATGATTTTTTTCAAAGAAATTATATCATTAACTAACTACTTTAGGCACTGGATTTTATACAAGTTCTTTTATGTTGGAAATTATTAAATTGCTGTTCAGCATTGTATCTCCCAACAATGCACTGTCTATTCATTTTTAGTTGTTAAAAATGATCCAAAATATCCAATTTTCAAAGAAAATTGGAAGTAAGTCAGGTAGTGATATTTCACTGTCAGCATTGGGATCCATTAATATTATTTAAACTTGCATTGGTGCAAAGCAGAATTTGGTGAAGCTGAGTCATCGATGATGCCAAACAAACTCTGAAGCAGGGTCAGATATTCTCATCCTCCAGAGTCTCCATGGATTTAGGCAGCATTAACACTTAACAGCAGTATCAATGTGAAGTAAAGCTTTTTTTTTCCTGACACTACAGCTGTACTATTTTCCAATTAGTGTTTTAGATTGGATTTATGGGGTATACCTTCTGAACTTCGAGCAATTCATACATGGGCTGTAGGAAGCAACCTTGCATCTGAGGACTGCACTGTGCTCAACAGTCTGATTTTAGTCTTGTTTTCTATTGTTACACACCCAAAATCACTTGATTTTAACTTACAATAGGATCATACAAACAAGCAAAAACAGCAATAATTTTCACTTTTTTTATATAGTAAAAGGTTACCTCAAGATAAACCAAGTAGCTTCTGGGTGATAAAATCAAAGACAATTGATGGTCTGCATAAGGAGAAGTAACCAAAGTTAACTTTTAAGAGCTGGATTTTGTTTAGCAGAGTTGGAGAGGTTAAGTAGAAAGGTATAATAGAATCCTGTTAGTTATTTTGATAAATTTTAACAAACTAAATTATTAACAGTATATTAAATGATCTATGCACTTAAATGTAACCATAATGCAGAATATAATTATCTTAAAACAGGTTTTAAAAAAAAACTGTTAGTGACCTTTTATAGACATCTATAAAATGAGGTATAGATAGTCTATTGTAGTGGTCTTGAAACCCCCCATTGTAGGGCAAAGACAAAAGGGTGCCTTTTTAAGGTGACAGATTTTTTAAAAAGATATGAGGCAATTTTTTTTTTGAGGATGGCTCACATGTGGAACGAACTTCTTGAAGTGGTGGATGTGGGCACAGTGTTCAAAAGACATTTGGATAAGTGTATAAATAGGAAAGGTTTGGAGAGATGTGGGCCAGGAGCAGGCAGGTGGTACTAGTTTAGTTTGGGATTGTTTGGCATGGACTAGTTGAACTAAAAGGATCTGCTTCCATGCTGTTTGACTGTAAGATGAAGCTCCCTTCATTCATAACTTTCATTATCCACTAGGGGCCTCTTCTATGACCAGATATTCATTGTATAATAATGTGAATACCTGTTGAATTTTCTTTTGGGGCTGTTAACCTGATTAAAAGGCCAGCCTTTGTACAGACACAGTAGGGTGAATGGTTTCCTTCACTGTAAGAATTCATGTAACTGGTTCCACGGACAGGTACTTCATTCTCATGTTCTCTTCATCCTCTGAGATGTGAACATCTTTCACATCTGGGACAAGCTGGGCATTCCACTACAATGCCCCTCTGACCCCATTTTTCCTCCTATTGTCTGGCAACAATTTTGCTAATGCCTGTTTTCAAGTATTGTACTATCTTTGTGGCTGTCCTGTGAGCTATTACCCTACATTTTCCTGCCAGATTTATAACAGTTCACAACTTTGGAACTAGTGGACAGAACACTTGTGCTGGGTGTTTTGTTCATATAGGTGGATCAGTTGCAATCGGATGGTTTACTAATTCTTTATGAAAATTCCTAATTATTGAGGATTAATTAATGCACGTTCACTTTTTTTCTAAAAATCTGCCCAAGGAAGGGATTTTTAACAACAGTTAGGATTTGGAATGTACTGCCTCAAAGTGAGGAAAATAGATTCACTTGCAGCTTTCCAGAGGAAATTACTTAAATGTTTAAATGGGGGGAGAAAATTGCAGGGATGTGGTGCTGTCGTGGGAGAAACTGGATTGCTTCATGAAAGAGCTAATTCAAATGTGTTGGGGGTTGAATGACTTCCTGTCCATACTATCCCATACTTCAGTGTTCATGACACAAAAAACTATGGTCAGCATACCCCTCATCTCCAAGTAAAAGCTTTGGTTTTAAATCCCACTTAAAAGCTTGAGCACACCTCAACACAGTACTGAGGGTGTGCTGCATTACTGTAGTTACTTTGGCCCCACAGGCTGTGCGGCATGTTGGAGTATGTATTTAGTGTAGATTCTTCTCCTCTTCTGCCTCGAGCTGACAAGGAATGACTTGTATGTCCAGTTCTGGTTTTAAACATCTTATTTACAGTCAAATTACTGAACGATAACTGTTGAATTCTAATCAAAGCAGCAACTTCCACTAGCTCACATGTTCAATTTGATTCAGAGTTGTATAACTGTTGTCAACTTTTGGCATGTTGATTTATGATTGCTAATGTCCATAATAGATTCATTCAAATGTTGCAGTGGTTGAAACGTTTTGTACTAGATTTTTCCATCTCTTCTAGATTGCATTACAAACAGGACCAGAGTAGGGCTGCTGTAGACTTAGTGGGTTTTTTTTAAAAAAAAAAAAAAGTCTGGTTCATGATCTCCTTTACTTGATGCGACCTGCACTGCTGTGGAGTCACTTGTAGGATACAAGTGCTGTCTGAAGTGATCTAGCAGCCATTCAGTTCAAGTGATAATGGAATGTGGACAACAAATGCTGGCCTTGCTAGGCACACCCATGTCCCAAGAAAGAATAAGTAAACTCAAATTCTCATCATACCACTTTTAAAGTCTATTGTTTTATGTCCACTTTGTGAAAATAGAACTGTAAGTTGTTAGTCTGCAATTAGAAACTTATTAGAATAACAAGTTGCAAATCGTACATTTTAAATATCTGCCTCCTAACCACATTTTATAGATTCATTAACTATCACACTTCAGCACTGGGAGTAAGATTGTTCCATTTGGAATATTAAATTACCAGTGCCTCAATGAATATTTTCATACTTGTCAAATTTCCAATTAAATCTTGTTGATAATGAAAACAACCTATAGCCTGATGTTCACATTTAATTACCATTCTATTTAACACTCAAGTCTAAAATGTGGTTTTAAGCAGAGCCTTATTCAGCCCCAGCAATACATCTGTTCTTGTGTTCTAACTCTCTTGAAATTAATACTAACATTGCATTTGCCTTCCTAACTGCCAGCTGAACCTGCATGTTCACCTTAAGGACTCCCCAGTCCCATTTATGCTTCACCTTTCCAAAACTTTCCCATCTGGAAGAGTCTACTTCTCCTAATCTTCCTCCCAAAGTGCATGAGCTCAAACTTTTGTGCACTGTATTCCAAATGTCACTACTTTGCCCACTCTCTCCTAGCTTGTCTCAAGTCCTTCTGCAGTCTCTCCACTTCCTCAGCAGTACCTGTCCATCCACCCATCTTTGTGTCATCTGCAAACTTAGCAACACTTCCCTCCTTTCTTCATCCAGATCATTAATGTATAGTGTGAGTAGTTGTAGTCCCAATATGGACCTCATCAGAACTGCACTAGTCACTAGCTGCCATCCTGAAAAATACCCCCTTTTTTTTATATACCTACTGCCAGTCAGCCAGTACCTTCCTCCTAACACCAAGGGCTCTTCTTTAGCAGCATCCTGTATGTCAAAGGCCTTCTGGAAATCCAAACTGATCACATCCACTGCCTTTCCTTGGCTAACTTGCTCATTACCACCTCAGTAGATTTGTCAGTCATGACTTCCCCTTGACAAAACTGTGCTGACTAAGCCCTATTTTACTATGCACTTCCAAGTACTTGGCAAACTCCTCCTTAATAATGGCCTCTTAAAATCTTACCAATGACCAAGGTCAGGTTGACTGGCCTATAGTTTCCTGTCTTTTGTCTCCCAAATTTCTTAAACAATGGCATTTATATTAGCCATTTTCCAGTGATTCCTGAAAGATCACCACCAATGTCTCCACAATCTCTTCAGCTATCTCTTTCAGATCTCTTTGTAGTCCATCTGGTCTGGGTGATGTATTCACCTTCAGCCCTCTCAGCTTCCCTGGCACCCTTACCTTAGTGATGGCCATTACATTCATCTCTGCCCCGTGACTTTCGAAGTTTTGGAATACTGCTAGTGTCTTCCACTGTGAAACTGATGCAATGTACTTAATGAGTCCTCCCCCATTTCTTTGTTCTCCATTACCACTTCTCCAGCCTCAATTTTCATTGGTCCAATGTCCACTATTGCCTTTCCCTTACCTTTTTAGATACCTTTAAAAAGAAACTCTTGCAATTTTTTTTATAATTAGTTAGTCTATGCTTCTATTTCGTCACCCCTCCTACATCCTGTTTATTGCTTGTTTAGTTGTTCTCTGCTGGTTTAAGGACTTCCCAATACTCTGGCTTCCTACTAATCTTCACCACCTTTTTGTATGCTTTTTCTTTTGCTTTTTATGCTGGCCCTGATTTTTTTCTTGTCAGCCATGGTTGCCTCAGCCTGGGGATGAATTTCTGCTGTGCCTCCCAAATTACCCCCAGAAATTTCTGCCATTGCTGCTCCACCATCTTCCCTGTTAGATCTCCTTCCATTCAACTGGCCAGCTCTTCCCTCACATCTGTCATTACAATTGAGTAAAAATAATACTATTACGTCTGATTCCAATTTCTCTCTTTTTTTTTTTTTTAAAAAACTGCAGGGTGAATTCTACAGGTTCCTTCAATTTATGCAATGAGGTAGACTTGATTAGACAGCTTATCAACAAATCCAGAAGTGGCTGTTCCCTCATGGGCTCTACCACAAGCTGTGCTTCAAAAAAAAAATCTAGTTGACGTTCTATGGATTTCTTGAGATTCCCTACCAAACTGATTTTCCTAGTCCACCTACATATTTAAAGGTTCCCACAAAATTATTGTAATAGTGCCTTTCTTTAGACTTTTTCTATCTCCTGGCTTTTTTTTGTATTTCCCTCTACTGACTACTGCCCGGAGGCCTGTACACAACTCG